ACTGACTGAATTGATCCCCGTCTGATGGCTCTTGCGAAATATGAGTTCTTTAGGGCGCCGTTATCGCCCGTTTCTCTGTCAACAAAGATGTCAGCAGGAGCCCGGAGCCCCCAACGGAGCCCGACTTCTGAGGAGGTGCTAGGCCTCGTCCAAAATCGAGTAGAACTTCTCCTCGTCCTGCTCCCGTCGAGAGGGCAAAGCCATGCCCGAAGAGCTGCATGACTAAGGCAATCATATACTATACGATCATGTAATACGCCATAAAACAACAGTACATAATGAACTGATACAAAAGTTTATAATGCGCAAGAGAGAATGCGAATAGTATATGCAGCTGCATTGCAGTTATGTCTCAGTGGTATCAGAGCAACTTCTTGAAGAGACTCGAACCACACAGGCGCAATTGCTCCGTGACGATACGCTGAACACAAATGCCGGGAAATCTTTCTCGGGTTCAGAAGTCAGAGCATCCCCACCAAAAAAGCAGACAATTGGAGCCTGCGCGACTGAGTCGTTCTTCACGATGGCCTTCCTTGGTGGACGAACCACATCCCGCAGCGGCCGGACCGTTTGGTTCTCCAGTGTGCAACATGAGGAGTGCGGCAGAGACAGCGAAAGACCGCGACCCCGCAAGAATGCACTGGATGGCTTTTAACTCTGCTACTGGTAGCTTGCAGCCCAGGATCTCGAAGGACAGCATGGAGCGGATAAGGCCAACCTTGCAATGAGATGCTGCTTGGGACTCCATGGCGACTGCCAGTATCATCAGTACCTCCTCTGCCGCAGCTTCCATCATCTTCAACCCATGAGCACCACAGCACAGCATACTGCAGCTATCTTGTAATTGCCTGATCGGGCCGAATTCGCTGCAAAGCCGAGAGTGGCCCGGGCCCCTCTCGGCCAAAACGGCTCTCTTTGGGCCCAGACTGCTCGAGGAACGAAGCTCGCGTAGGAGATCAGGTTGTCCGCGTTGACCTTTGCTTCTTGAGCAATTTGCGTTTTCCAGGCATCCAGGAACAGAATGATTATTACCTTTTTCTATTGTTATGATTATTGCCGCTAGTTGCTACTATGATTCTTATTATGATTACTAAGTGATTACTATTACTGTCT